AGTACCAAATACGAAGCTAAGTCACGTCAATGGACTCCGCTGGCGGTAGACGCCGTTTCTATCAGACTGATCAAAACTCAACAGAAACGGGTCAATCCCAACAGATTTTATTTTGTTCCAGTAACGAGAGGTATGAGTGGTGGTAAACTCTTCGTGTAATAGGACAAAGGACAGTTTACCTAACGTTTGTCGGCCATTTCAATGCTTGGAAACTCGCTGTAGGCGCTGTAGCCCCAAAATGGCGTCGCACGGGACATGAGGGGTCGTGACGTCATGATGACGTGTGGTGAATAAGCTCTATAATCATAGCTGACTAATATAGTATATCAATGAATAACACATTGTAACAAAGGATCAATTCATGTTACAAACATACAGAGGAAAAGAAAGAATAACAGAAAACAGACCACCAACGATGCTTCTATTCTGTAGTATATGTTCAACAGTTGGTTTAGTATTGTCTGACATATTGTCAGAAGTTGATATTAGGTAAAACATAACAGTATTTATGTTTAAATTACTAGTTTGGCATCTTGCCCCCCTGCCGGTCTTGCGTAGTGTATTCCAACTCTAGACATGTCTGCATCTAGTGTCTAAGAGACAGCCTTTTGTGTTTTTCCGCTTGCTTGCATTGGGGGTAAGCGCTCGGCGCTTTTAAGTGTTGTTTGCAGTAAGTACAAGTTGAAGGGTCGTGTTGATGACATGGTACTGTCAGGCAGCTCTCCGCTTTGTGAAGGTTGTTTTGACAACAACAGACAATGCTGATCAAACAGACAGTTGGTATGTTTAGTCGCGGTAGGTCCCCTTGTACAATGTTGTTACTTTTATAGTTAAACACTGCTAACATGTGTTAAGGCCAGACAGACTGTAACATTTTACGTGTATGTTTGTATTGTATTGTAACAGGTATATACAATGTACTTTGTACTTGAAACAGTCAATGGGGGATTATTCTTTCTTGTACATTGATGCAGGTTAGATATCAATGTAAACAATGCACACAGGCAATTCAAACTCTACTACTGGACTTCTGAACATTTTGACATACATTATGTACATCACTTTCCTTCGGTCAATCAGTGTCAGTAGAATTCTTGTAATATGAATGCAATGTAGGTAATGTAGGGATGAATGTGAAAACAGGATATCTTCTTCCTTTATGCAGCTTTCAATGTGGAAGGCATTCATATTAACTTTTAGCACACTTAAGTAGCTGAATAGAGGGTTTGTGCCGGGAAAAGAATCAGCATGTTGGCAGAACGTACTGCACCTGCGCGAAACCCGTAATGTATTGTGCATACCAGTATCACTTCGGCAGAACCTCTCAGTCTCATATAAGGTCGTATTCGTGTATATAAGGTTAACACCCCGTCTGTAGTTTCCAAATGTTATGTGGGAAAAGATATCTTCTGCAACAGGCAAAATTATGATGCAACGTCGACCAAAAGTCCAACGAAAAACGTGAAAAGTGGGGCTTTTGCGCAGGCGCAGTACGTTCTGCCGATGTGCAGAACAGATCCACCTGGCGAGACCTACTCATGTCTGCAGCACCATGCATCAGTTCCTGATGCTCACAAACAATAAAAATATTGATTGATTGACACTGAAGTAGCCACTGGGCAGCTGGGAGAAAGTTAAGTGATGGGGAGCTATTTCTGTGTTGTTACAATATGTTCCTTTCAAAACCTAGAGGGTTCTACAACAGAGGGAGGAGCACCACAGAAGTGGAAGTGGGCCCAGGTGAAGGCGTCAGGTGTGAAGCCCAGCCCGCGCTGCGGTTTCTCCTCCTGCCTCACCGCCCCAAACCGCGCCATCTTCTTCGGCGGCGTGCAGGACGAAGAAGATGAGGAGGAACTCTCCGGAGACTTCTTCGACGACTCTTACACGCTCGACCTGGAGAATAGAAAGTGGTTCCTCACAAACTTGAAGGGAAGGAAGTCTTCCAAGAGAAGAAGAAGAAGGGCTAAGAAGGACAAGGAAGCTGGTGCAGAGAGTGATGAAGAGAGTGAAGATGATTCCAGAGAAAGAGGAGAGGAAAAGAGTGACAGTGATTCAGAGGAGGAGGAGTCAGTACCACTGGTGCCCTCCCCCAGAATGAACACTCTCATGGTGGTGAAGGGGAAGATTCTATTCCTTTACGGGGGTGTTTACGAGGAAGGAGACAAACAGGTAGTGTCCTTTTTTCTTTGTACACTTAGGCCACACCAATTTAATTTGTTAGTTCTCTGATTTTTTCAGAAAAAATATGAAGCGACAGGGCAAAAAAAAAATGAATAAAAACAGGTCTAGTCATACTATTATAGCCCCAAATGCTACAATAGGATCCATGAAGTCAACACAAAGGGTTGTATTAATATTTGAACAACGAATTTTGAACTTTTGATCAAACCACTGCTTTGATAGATGGAAAAACTGTAACAACTAGGAAGAAAAGGACTTTCCTCAACTGTTGGGAACAAAATATGAGCATTTTTGAGTTGATTCAGAACCAGAACCTTTTT